ACTCAACATGATTTAGCTGATTCCATAAGTGTAATAATATATGCATACAGTATATAGATTCATTAGGTGCTTGTATACTATCTCCAGATTTAAACCATTCCATCACAGCATCTCTACATGGATGAAATAATTATTCAAAGCAGTTTTAGATTGTGAAAAGGTACCCTTTTCTCCTGATAAACTTGAAAAATTAAATGACACATTCTTGGCTTAAATAAAGACAGTAAGATGTAAATATGCGTTAATATACTTCAAACACATTCACAACTGACATGTGAAACACTTTTTTCCTTGCTAATGTGTCTATTCTGAACTTGTTAATATGGTTGTCACAGTATGCAATGTGGAAAATAATTTATTTTAATCCAGATAAAAGCCTCTATTTATCTGAGTGATTAATTTGAATGATCTGACAAATTCATAGTGTCTTAATGGTTAAGCAAGAACACCAATGTAATTTCTGGATATGAAACATCTGACCTTCCTGACTAGCTGACCTTTCCTATGATAATTGGAGGGATGGAGGGAGAGACCTTAATTTTGATCAGTGTGACCCCTTTCAAGAGACCCACATCATGAGAGGAGGTCACCCGCAAAAAGGCAAGATCCTCCACATTGGCCACCTGATTGATCATCCATCTCCCCCTCCATAGCAAGGGCTAACAAAATACTCAGCAAAGGTTTCTTCTGGCAAGTCCAGATGAACTCTATCTTGAATGCAATAAATTGTAGTGTTCTGTTTGCATAAGAGGTCCCATCCCAGAAAGTTTAAAAGAGTATGACTATTAAGGAGAAAAACATGTTCAGCAGTAAGTAGACCCTCAGAAAGAGAATAAGGAGCAGGACTTTTCCCCACCCCACCCATGTAGATAGAAATCTCATAGGTGGGGAGATTGGGGAAAGAAGAAATTTGCAAAATAGAATAGGTTGTACCAATGTCTATTAACAAAGGAACATTTTGGCCAGACACAGAGATAGAAACAGAAAGACAAGAGTCATCTACAGGAAGAAGTACACATTAATTACCAGCTGAAACAGAGCCCACCTATCCTAACAGAACATTTGTGAATTATAATTATCTTCAATTTCAGCAGATGACTGTTGTGAATGCCTTGGTGTTGCATGGATCTTGCAGATTTCTCAGCAGCATTATGGGCAGGAGTGCTGATGGAACATTTCAGTCAGGGGCAATTATTATTCTACCACACCTTTTGTTGGGCATAATGAATTAGAAACACTCCTTTGGAGAGCATCAGATGATATGGGGGAGTTTGATGATGCAGATACCTGGGAGTCACATTCTCTGTGAAAGCTGTGATGTTGAGTTGGTGGATACAGCTGTTAGATTTGTAGAGCCAGCACGTGGTTACGATCTGAGTGGAGCTTCTGGACAGTTGCTTCTTTCCCAGACTGAAGTGTGTCCCATATTAGAGTGCTAGCATCCACTGAAGTATCTAGGTCATGTCTTCTCCAATCTAAGATTGCACTGGTAAGCTTTTTACTGATTTTAGGTAAAAGTGCCCTGAAAATGGTCCCCATAGCTAATGAGCAAGTAGCAAGGGCATTTGGATCCATTCCAGAATAGGGATGGAGTACAAGAACAAGTAATGTAATCTTCAGGATGCTCCTCAGATCTGTTTTACTATGTTTTCAATCTTAGTCATGTTGGGCGGAAACCATGGCAGTATTAGATTGTAGGAGGTGATCCCGGCATTTTCTGAGACAGGTTCCTGGAGAGGTCATGCATTCTAGTGGTTGTCAACTCAGGTTTCAGCTAAAAGAGTTTGTTTTTGGTCCAAGTGAGCAGATCAGAAAGTAGCATTTTAATGCCACCCCAAATGGCAAATGGCTGAAATAATTTCTGACAAAACTCACTAGGCTTTCTTTTAATTTAGGAAAAGTTGTGCTCAAATTTATTATATCCTCTGGAATCTTGGTAACATGGACCACAGTAGAAGGCTCTCCTTGAATGTTCGGGTAGGCATGCAAGGGGGCAACAATAATGAAAGCATCAAGAAGGGTAGTTAGGAAAAGTCCTGGAAAGTTTTGTGGAATGAAAGCAAATTGAACCACTTTAGATCTAGACTGTAATCTTAATCTTCTGTAAATAGTCATGCCTTACTATATACTAGGTGGCTTACTCCCATTTACTTCCCTGTATGGATTTAGGGAAGGAAGTAAGGCCCATTGTAAGTCCAAAATAGTTAGGTAATCTGGAAGTGGCCCAAGAAGGCTGGCAGGAGTATCGAGTAGGGTCATCTGCTGGAGGTGTGTTGGCATACAGGGGGAACTGGCTGAAGCTGCCTCCCTCATCAGGAGCCATGGTGTACAAGAGGGGGCTGTTGTTGCTGAAACTGTAAGTGGTGGGATTGCATTGTAGAGTCTATGCAAGAATGGCTGGGGTACCCAACCCTCTAATGAACTTCTGATGCAGCGGGTTGAATTTTTGAAACAGAGTCCATTTGGGACATGAAAATCCGTTGGAAATACAGAAGCTCATTCAGGAGTGGAACAAGCACTCACTGACTCAGAAGAAACCTGGCTATGGCCAGTCCTCAAAGAAAGACCTGGGAGGGCCCCCATGGCCCCCATAAGCAATCGGGGTTTTCTCCATTGCACATCTAGAGGCAACACTTCCCACGAGCAAGATAGACAGGACAACACAGGGGGGAGTAAACCAAAGAGATATTCCTGTGAGTGCTAGTGATTGCCAGGTGACACAAAAGAAAGTGAAGACACAATCCTGACAACCCTTATCTCTACAGATGATGGCTGATTCTTGCTACAGAAGAGCTGCCATCACTTCAGGGTTTCCCTCTATCCCATTGCTGATACCAAATTGTAGCATAAATTTCCTTTTAGAATTTGTTTCAGAGACCAGACCACCACCTGTAGCAAGCATCCTGTTTATTACAGTACCAGGCAGCAGAAGCAAACTTACAAAGGGGTAGGAATGCAACCCTGCATATAGATTTAGGCAAATTCCAATAAACATAAGAACTACAGCAGAACTATTGATTGGATAGAGCAACATAAGATGATTGTATATGCATGTCGATAGTGAGGTAATGAGGGCTGACTTGCAAAGACAGTAGCTCATTGAGTTAGACAAAGACTGTGTTCTCTGAATAAAATTACCATTAATGTATTACTGTCTTCTAGGTGTTATCTCCCAGCAGCCTTGCTTCCCAGTGCAGTTTCCATCTCTTACTGCCCTAATCAACATTTTTCATGTCTAAATATTTTATGGTTGAGGTAACAATTTATTTCCCCTGGGAAAGTGGATTTGAGGAGTGGGTAATTTATTTGTCTTACCTAATGCCATTTTCTTTCTACTTCATGGTTTTCAATAAATGTCCTTGGAATTCTTATATTTGTACAGAAACAGCTTCAAGAAAAGTCTCTATTATTTGGTAAATTCTATTATGAAAAAGGTACATTTGAGATTGTATATACAACTTAATTATTAAAAACTAATATTTGTTATAATGCACAGTTGAATAGATTATTTTCAGGAAATATAGGCATTTTAAAATGGAAATAAATAGCTGTTAATGGAAGTTAATGGAAGCTACTAACGCCAGCAAAGGAAATGTATAGGCTCAGAGTAGGAGTGAATTTGCATAGCTTCAGTTAGTGTAACAACCCCAGATCCATTCTGGCAGAAGTGGCCTGTGTTATGTGAGCTTGGGCTACATTACAACACACTCCAGGGGCACTTCTGCACAACCATCAATGTTCTAGCCCCTAAACTTTTTCAGTTGCACTGTAGTGTCCTATGAGAGTCTCACTTTGTGGCTGCCAAGGATCTACCTGAATTGGTCAGTTTTCCTTATTCTGCTAGTTGGTTAATTGTAGAATGGAAAAGTCAGTGTTCCTCAAATGCTTTGTAATGAGAAATGACCCAAATGGCCACTAGGAAGTGGGAGGCTGGACAAGTCAGGAGTTCCCACCAATGGGTAGCTTCCACTATTAGCTCCAAAACGAACATATTTTCTGAATTACATCTAAAGTACTAGCTGAGTTGATTGGTTTGGCTTGTAGAAGAAGCCCCTTTGCACTGTGGGGATGAAGCAGCACTTCTGGATGCAAAGCAAACACTGTACTGGAAGGAACCTGGGTTTGAAGGGTGTCTGTTGTTTTTCACTACAGCTCCTTCTGAGCATGGTTTGATAACAGGGCCTCTTTATTCACAGCATGTGACTTTGTGCCATTTAATCTGTTTTGTGTTTCTGGGACCAATTCAGAGTAGTAGTTGGTCTGAATGCAGTTTGGGGCCATGCCGGCAGAGGGGCTGCCTGCTCCTTCATGGCTTTTCTGCCATTTCAGGAACTTCTGTGATATGTCATGTCACTATCAAAGGTGAACTTGTTGAATACATGGGACAGTGATGACCCCTTTGAAGATTCTTTAGTGATCTATTTGTTACTGTATTGCCTTGTCTTAAACTTAGTTTTCAGAAAGATTTAAAATTATTTGTTTATATACATGTTTTCTATGTTGTGTTGCTTATGATGGATGTGTTGTTTCTTGTAAGGTGGGCATTTTAAATGATTACTATTTTATTATGTTTACTGAGTATTTTGGGGGAGTGAGGAGCTGAAGAACAATATATAATGCTTATATAAATATCTAAACAGTGGTAAAATAATAAATCTGTTTCAGGAATGTGATATAAGGAATGTTCTTATAAAATATCATTAATAATAACTAGTTTGGGCTAAGTATAAAATTAGATTTAAAAGTAGAACACAGATTTTGATAGACATTTTCTTTGTAACATGCTATATATGATTTAAAGAAATTTCAGAGATTACACAGAAGAGCAGGCTGCTGCTGTTTACATCAGGATAATTAAAAAATAACTGAATAGTATAAAATTCACTGCTTGCTGAGTATTTTCCTTCAGCTATGGTATTAGTTGTGGGAATCCTTAAATATCAAATTGCACATTTAACATCAAATTACATTTAATGATTTTGTTTGTTTGTTTTCCCCAGTGTGACAATGCAAAGGGTCTTAAAGCCTTCTATGATGCAATAAAATATGGACCTACACATCTAATGGTTTTTGGTGGCGTATGTACAACTGTAACATCCATCATTGCTGAATCCTTAATAGGATGGAATTTGGTCCAGGTAAGTAACACTCAATTATATATAGAAATATCTCCCATGCTTTAAAGTGTTTAGAACATTAGATACATAATTCTAAAGAGGATTACTAACTTGCATGAACTACTTCAAATTCTGCAAACAAAATGTGTGTAGAGTCCAATGAATCAGGGGATAGAGAGGAAATTATTTTTTCCTCTGCATTTCCCATGAACTGTCATTATCTGAGAGTGGTATAGAAGATTTCAGTTGCAGGTTTTGTGAGGATGTGAGATGCTGAAGGATGTAGAGATGCATTATGTAACTGTATAACTGTTCAGATTCAACTTGTTGCAAAGCCAGATTCAAAATGGGATCTTGAGGTAAAACTAGTTAGATACAGCAATTCATGAACCACATTCTGAGACCATCCACATTGCAATGTTATGTGGGAATGACCTTGGGAGACTGGGCCCGGAGACACTGCCAAGGGAACAGTCAGATAAGAGACAGCATAATCCACAGCTGGATAGTGGGCAGGGCAAGAGGCTCAGAAGACACCCTCCCTAATTGCTTGGGGGGTAAAGGAAATGGGGAGAATTGCACTTTCAGACTTGCAAGATTCTGTTAATGTAGCCTTACAGTATAAAGTAGAATTAGCTCATCTGTTCATGTTTCCTGTCTGGTCTATTGGTATAGCTGACAAACTTATACAGGAACAAATTACTTCTGAATTATTAATTTTATATTAGTATAAAAATGGTTTGGCAGGGATTGCTATAGGCATGATCAAAAGCATTATTAATTAACTGCTTAATTAGAAGATAGGAGATTCTGAAGCTGAGAGATAAGTGCAGTCTGCCACTGAATGCATTGCAAGGGATTTTGTTTTTGTATTTGCAACAATTAAAGTACAGCTAGTTGTATTATACAGTAATTCTGAATAATAAAATATGATTTTAGAATAAAAGGGGCTTAGACAAATAGCTATTCTTTAGACAAGTAAATGTGCAAAGGAATACTCCTGACTCCTTCTGAGCTCTGGTTTCAGGAAGGGCCAGATTTGTGAACCAAATGCCATGTTGTGTAACAGTTATTGATTTTATTCTTTTTTTTTTTTTAAACGGGTCAGTTTTGATTTTGTGGTAAATAGGGATGAGTTAAAAACTTCTGTGTCTGGGCTATTCTCAGGTACATCACAGGATATCTTTATGAAATTAATTACAAGTCAGCAGAGAATATTAACAAGGTTTCATTTGGCAATCAATTTCATTCTTTTTGTTATGTGTAAACTTTATATAATCACCTTGGAATCAGCTTTAATATATTACTGTATGATTTTAACACATAACCTTATCTACAACTGAGTTCTGAACAATCATTTCATTGTACCAGCAAAAACAACTTGATGGCACATAATCAATCACAAATCAATCAAAGCCCAAGTATGTAAAGCATTAGAAGAAGGCTTTAGGCTGGTAGTCATAGCAGCTGACAGAACTATGATAGTCACCTGGAAAATTCATGCTGTGTGTAGTTTTCTTGGCAAATTCCTACATGAATCAGTAAAGCACTGTAGTAAGTGTCATTCCTAGAACTTCATTCATTAATTCATTCTAGGAAGTTGGACCCAACGGTATTTATTTGCAGGTAAAGCATACATCTAATGGCGCTGTAAATCTGCAACCTTCAATATAATCTAGTGAAAGTAGTGTGTATCAAAGATGACCTCCTGTCTTAAATCCTATTAGTATACCCATTTTATAAGAACAAATTAATGGTAGATCTCTGTTCTAGGTTAGGATTTATACTGTCAAATAGAAGTGTACAAACCATTTCAAAATGTTTTGATCTCAACACAATGTTCCTTTTTTAGTTCGAACCAACTGTATCAAATTTGAAATGGGTTGTATCACCACCAGAAGCATTCTAATGCTGTTCTGCCTGCATCAGAAATATTCTAAGCTTGAAAGGAGAAAATCTTGTGGTTTGGTGTTCTAGAGAGGCTGGTATGCTCCATTTCAAATTCAAAACAGATATTTTGAATCCAAAATGAGCATTTCAGCTTAAAACATTTTGAACTTGACATGCTTTTCTCACATCTGATGTTAACCTATCTTATGAAAGAATGCAGAGGAGATTTGAGTTAAGACTTGCTTAAGTCTCGGTGATTAGGACCTGGCTAACAGAAGGGTGGCTTTTCAAGATATGCAGGAAGAGAGGTCCTCTTGAAGATGATCCTTTTAGAGCTATTTCTCTTACATTCAGGAGGGGGCTTTTTCCTGCATGACTTAATAGAATACATTCGCTTAGGTTTTAATCTGTCCCCCCTTTCTCCACTGCCTCTTCAGCCAAGGTTTCTGAATTGTTTTATGATCGTTCAATTATTTATTAATTTTTAAATTATTTCTCCTTGTTTTATTTTATTTTGTGTTTTTAAAAAATATTATTACCATCCTAGTTGGATGGAAAGGCAGGATATAAATAAAATAAATGTGATTGATGCCACATCAGTGAATATTTATTAAATGTGTTAGATATATAGCCATAACAATGCAGTTTTAATTGTGTATTTCCACAATTTATTTGATGAGCTGCTGCAGGATAAATCTTACATATTTGCTGGCTATTGTCAACAATAGATGCCATGGTGATACATAATCTTTTTTGACATAAGACTTTACTGGAAAAAATATTGATTAACAATAAAAGTTTTAAAAAGAGGAGACAGAAGGTTAGAAAGCTATTGATAACATGTTACTGGAAGAAATTATGGAGAATTCAGTTTCAGCTTTGAATTCTCTTATTTGGCGCCCTTTTCTCCTTCTTTACTGGGAAAAGCTATAACAACAAGGCGGCCATGGGGAGGGATGAGTATAATTCAGGCCAGCACCAGAGGAGGAGTTAGGTTCTTTCCTGAAGATTACCTCCATTTTAAAGAAAGGAGCTAGTCTCTTTTGCTTAATGAATATGCAAGACAACATATGCAGACAATATTTTATTCAACTGTTCTCAGGAAATGTACCTGCTCTTGACTTCAAACCAGCGGGGTGAGTGATTACCTGATGGGTTTCTGGAAGTGATTTTAAGCTTAGCAAAACAGAGTTCCATTTTTAAATTATTTAATAAGTTAAAGAAGTACAGTTATATTACATAATTTGCATGCTGTTTTTATTGGATGAAGCTTAAAATGTAGCTAGTATGAATGGAAACAAATCTGACTGATTAATGTTGGTGTAAGTGGCACTATTAAGGGGACAAAAAAATTACAACAAGCTCTTACTGAACAGACTCTGCAAAATCTCATTCAGTAAAATGAGAAAATTTTATATAAGACCTGAATTATTTAAAAATATGGAATAGGTAAGCAAAAATATGTATGTGTTCATGGAGCCTTTTTAAAAAAATCAGTGGCAACTATACTATGGCATATGCTCTTCTTCAAGAACATTGAGATTATTAGCTTCCCAATGATTGAGGAACTATGTGTATTTTCTTCCATTTATGAACTTCAGGCTGAGGGGAGAATCATCACTGTCGTCTCCCTGCTTCTTCTGTCCTTCTGCAAATGGAAAAAGCTTTTCTTTTGTAGAAGTGCATTTGAATCCAATATTTTCTTTCATTATTATTTTATTGGACTGTAGTACATTTATCCTGCACTGAGTTATATGGTATTGTCTGGTAAGCACACTTTTTTTTTTAAGAAAAGAAATTCTGTATTTCTTGTTTAATAATATTGAATAAAAGGCACATGGTTCTAGAGGTTCTTCAATATATCACCTGTAAATGTGTGTGCTTGTGATATAGATATAGCTATATAGGTATAGCTGCATATAAAACTAAAAATGGAACATAGGTAAGCAAGGTAGGTAATAGCCAAGACCAAATCAAGGTGAAATTTGGAATAGTGTGCTTATAATGTAACAGAGGGAAAATACCTGGCACCCTCCCCCACCAGCCAAAGATAGCATGGCCAATGACAAGGGACTATGGGAATTATTAACCAAAATATCTGGGGAGTACCACGTAGCTTATTCTTGGCATTAAAGGATCTTTAATTTGAAAGATACCTTTGGAGCAATTACATATACCTTTTAAAGAGAAGATTTTTTTTTTCCCCCAGATGGTTGCCTTATTTTCAGTACGGCATTGGAACTAAATCTGGGAAATCCTTCAGATTCCCGTTCATCCATGAGGTTGACAGTAACTTTTCACTAGTGGTTATCAGTTAATCTAATCCACTTCATAGGGTTATTATAAGAATAAAATCGTAGGGGTATTTCTATGTATATTTTCTTGACCTCTTAGAAATAAATCAACAATCTGTTATATAAAATAAACACTCCAAACCTAAGATCTAATTAATAAAAATGCACAAATTAAAAATATTGCAGAAAATATAAAACGCATAAAAACAATAAATTCTGTGACATTAGTACCAAATTGACTGAAAGTCCTTATTTCTTCATTAAAAAGAAGCAGTTCATGAGTTCATAAAGAAAATATATAAATTATCCACTGTTGCAAGTCAGAGGTGAATTTGACTTTTCAAAGTTGTATCACAATTGTTATAGTTGTATCTTAGGTTCAGTGTCCATAACAGATTCCATAGACCAGTGTTTCTCAACCTTGGGAACTTTAAGATGTGTGGACTTCAACTCCCAGAA